TTGACTTGAAGTCCATCGTTTATTTTATCATCTTTGAAAAGCGTTGTATGATCAAAAAGAATCCTTAGCAATTGAACACGTTTCTGTCCAACCAAGGCTCTGAGACTTTAGTTTTTGTTTATCTTACTGAGAGTTTCGAAGGTTCCGGTTTGTGAAAACTAACTCCAGTTGGGCAGCAGAGCTTAGAAATTAGTGGATGCTTTCAAGAAAGTTGGCAATAGTTTCACTATTTCTCTCAAGAGAATGTTTTACATTATTTGAGAAAAACTATACCCATGAATGTCATCCACGATGGTCTAAGATACTTGTTTTGGAATATTACCTAACAATTTTCTCGATTTTTAAAATCATTGTTTATAACCTTTTGTAACAATATTTGTTAATAATGATACTTTGTTAGTGAATAAAACTAATTTTTTTCTAGGTTGAAGATTACAAATCTAGTTGGATTTAGTCCAAAGAGAATCATTACCTAATATTTAGAATACATAATGATGACAATTTATTGCTAATAATTTATTGCTCATTTATTATTTGTGCTAATATTTTATTTATTGCAGCTTAATGTTATTTATAATGTGAAAGATTCAGGGTCTTCTAGAAGCCGAAGATCTATCCAAAATCAAGAAGCCTTTGATTTAGATATTGCTGTAAAAGATAATAAAGATGATATCAATCACTTGAATTTGAGTGTGTGTACAAGGTTGGTATCTAAGTCCCTATTCCTCTTTTCTCTTTCAAAAAACATAGATTTGAAAATTTAGTTATATATATATAGCTATATATTATTTATAACTATGTATGTAATATATATGTAACTATATAGTTATCTAACTATATCAATATAAGGAGTTGCATTTAACAAAGATTTCAGTTATGCATTTCACTTCAGGTTACGAACTAGAAATACTGCTAATAATATTTAAGCATTTCTCAACATGTCCCAATTATTTACAAGTTTTCCTTGTATTTATAACAAGTTTAAATAGAAAAATTTAATAAAACTCAGGACTAATTTATGAAAACTTTAAATTAACCAATCATGTTTAATACTCCAAATTTGGTTATTTCTTCTTGTTAGTCATTTTTTCTGTTAAATAATTATTCCAAGTTCATATTTATCCTTTAGTGTTGTACTTTTAATTCAAAACTTCATAAAAGCATATGAGTTCAATGAAAAGAATAGTTGTTTTAGACACTGTGAAAATATTCCGGTTAGAAGGTCCTGACCTTGGATAATTAGGCACTTGTAGCTTCTGGGAGTACCTAATAAGGCAAGTCTTAAGTTTGGTCTGTATCCGAAGCATCTGAGAATCTTGTTAAGTCATAAGGAGGAGGAGTTCCCCCTCAAACTCACTGACCTCACAGATTCAGAGTCTGTGATGCACCTTCTTCAGCTTTCTTGGCCATTCTAACGCACACGCAAGTGTGAGAGCAACTCCTTTAGAAAGATCTTGAATCAAGAGACTTTACAATTTCTTCCTTGTCAGTCTGTTCTCTTAACTCTGCATGATTTGGTGTTAAGCTGGGAGTTACTGTAAAGATGTACTGATAATGAGGAGCTGCTGTCTGCTTTTTCAAAATATCCCATGGCGTTCTGGTTGAACTTACAGCATGTTGGGCAGGAAGTCACTGATGTGCTCCTGAGCTGCCAGATGCGCTTCAAGGTCATCTCTGGGTGTCCCTCCAGGTAGTCAGCCTTCTTAGCCATTCCCTGAAGTCAGTCTCCTCCATTACTGCTTCCGTCTGTGCTGTCTCCTTCTTGTTCATGATTTTGGTGTAAAATGTCACATGTGTTGGCCCCATTCCTCACCTTATTGGGCATTTTGGACTAGCAGCAGGGGGATATCAAAATCTTTGCAGTGGCTTCCTTTTCAGCTGAGAGTATGGCTCCCATTATTCTTTACTACACTTGCAATTCGGCTTTATTCTTGAATAACATCATCATTATTATTATTGTAAACAATAACAACCTACATTTATCACAAACTTACATGCCAGGTATCGTACCAAGCACTTTTACATGCATCTCATTTAATTCTTAGGCTAACTTTGTAAAGTAGGTGCTATTATTATCCCTGCTTTTCTCATTCATTCCTTCAATCTTTCATTCACTGAGTAAATATTGGTGAAGTCTCTATTATGTGCCAGGCACAGTGTCATATGTTGGAATGTAATGGTGAGCCAAAAAAGACACAGGCCCTGTCTTCATGGAACTTACTGTTTGGAGTGGGAGACAGAAATGAATAAAAATGAATCCCCCAAGCAAGTCCAAAATTCTAGTTTTTAAAAGGGCAAAGAAGAAGAGTCTTATGGAGCTATGAGAGGGATTTTACCTCTTAGGGAGGTCAGATGAGGTCAGGTGAAGAAACAGATGAGGAAAATGAGGTGAAACCAGAATTCAGACTACGAAGGGGCCCCGTTATTTATAGGGGCTCATGTAAGGATGCAGGATTCCAGATATTAATCTATCATTAGAAATCAGATGGGCAATAGACTTTGATAGGTAGAGTGTCTACCTATCTGTCCGTCCGTCCGTCCGTCCGTCCATCCATCCTTCCTTCCTTCCATCCTTCCGTTGATCTCTCTGTCTGTCTATCTATCTATCTGTCTGTCTGTCTATCTATCTTTTTTTTCTTCTTTGGGAGGACCTGGAGAAGGGAAATGTTTTCATGTGAGGGTAAGGGTTTTATAGAAAGGATTTAGATGCTGCTACTAGTTTTATGAGAAAAATCTGATATGAAATACAAATAACATTTTAAGTGAATTTTTTCAGTGGCACTTTATAAAAAGAGTAACTGCTATTTCAGGCACTTTATTCCCATCAATAGGGTCCAAGTCCTTAGTCACCTTAGACAGAGTTTTCATTGTGGCATGGTGATTTAACAAATCTGCCCCTGGCTGGTAGAAAGACAGGTCAAGCAAGGCACTTTCGCTGATGTACTGAAAGTGATCATATTTAAGCAGACTGCCTGTTTTTCTCAGCTGTAATTTTTGCTCAGATACAAACACCTCTAGTTTCAATGCACTTACTAGTTTTCATTAGCGTCTCTTTTGGCTGAGTGCGTCACCCAGCAGATGATTTCAGTTGCTTGGGATTGCTCAGCCAGCTGCAGTCAGCAGTTGTACTGGATGGCTTTTTCAATCAGGCACGTTTGGCAGGCATCGGTTTTGTGAAAAGCAGGATTTTTTACCAGCCCTTCTTGCTTTTGCCCTCTGAAAGAACAGCGGGAACTAACTTAACAATGCTGTGATCCTTTCGTGTTGGAGACAAGCTCTTTTCCATAACCATGCTGGGTTCCCTCTGCTCCAAACTAAAAGCTCTTGCTGCCTATTGATTTTAGAATAATATTTATTTTAAAGGAGACAGAGTGTTGTTGGTGCCCAGACCCTTTGATGCTCACACTGTGTGCAGCAGGGTGAGAGAGCGAGGCCGTGTAACCAGAGTTCCCAGGTTGTGGTTCTCTCAGGGCAGCTGAAGGAAGCACAGATTGTGCCCCAAGTATGTGGAGAACAAGAGGAAGGACTCCTCCTGTTGCTCGTCTTCCACAACCAGGCAAGAAAGCTTGCTAATGACTTGGCTGCGCGTCCACTGCTAAGTGATCCAGTGATGCCTTGGGGTCCTGGCTTTCAGCTGGAAAGTTCAGTGCTGCGAACTTTTGAGAAGAGGAAAACGGCACTTCAGTGTGGAGCTCCCACTAGAGAACAGAGTTCTCTAGTTGTGCTTGTCACGACTACAGGCACAGCCTGTTCCCTTGCAGGCTCTCACGCTGCCCGTCAGATGCACACACGCTTATGTCGTTAATTCTCATAGGTTGAAAGCATAACACTTGGCAGTTGTAATTTTTATGTGAAGATAGTTTGCCAACAGCGTTAGGTTTTTGCTAAAGGACTTTTTCCATCCTTTCCTCTTTGATTTAGGTTTCTGGGCCCCGCCAGAAGTGGCATGGCTCTCATGGAGGTTAACCCACTCAGCGGGTTCTCCGTGCTTTCAGACGCAATTCCTCTGAGCGAGATGGTGAAGAAAGTGGAACATGGTCATGGAAAACTCCACCTATATTTAGATTCTGTAAGTAGCAGAACATAAGTTTCATATAGGTAACCATCGACAAAGCTACCATTTATTATGTTCACAAGTCGTACTTTACACGTTTTCTTTATTAGTTCAGCTTTTTGTGTCCCTGAATGACTTGCACATGGCAAACATGTTTGTCCCCACTAAAAAGACATCGTTAGACAGTTAGAGAGAATTACTATTAATGACGAGCCTGATGAAAGTCTTGATAACTAAATCATTATTTCATGCCAGATGTAAAATATATAGAAATTGCTATAATTTCAAAAATTCAGTCTAGATCTCAATTTGAGAACCCCTCTGCCTCAGGGAATTGCTAAACATATATGTTTACATGCTGATGATGAAAGCTTTAATTACATGTTTTAAAAAGCTTTCATGAAGCTTTTTATAAATCCCAAAGGGGTTAATATTCGTACATTGAAAAGTTAGGTGCTTAAATCACAGAAGAATATTCTCAGAGGTCTGGTCTTTACACAAAATTATTGTATAGTTTTCATATACTCTTCCTACTGCTGTGTGAAAATTACTGACCCAAGAATACAGTGCATAAAATATGTGAAAAAGGTAATTGAAGAATTCAAGACTCTACTTGTTATGTTTCAAAACTGCTGGCGTGTAAGTTTATTCTTTTCTTCTAACATCTATGTATGTGCAATTTGTAAGTTGAATTGAAATTGAGTTCTAAGTGTTCTTAGGATTTCATGTTACATGGGGAGAATATGTATGTTTCTTATTCCAGTTTTGGCAAGTATGAATCAGAAATATATTGCTTTAGCAATATATCTACTTTAAAAAAGCTAGTTCCTGAATGTTCTCATTGTTTTAAGACTTCAAAAGCCACTCTGGTTAAAAACCTATTAAGGGGCTGGCCTGGTGGCGCAGTGGTCAAGTTCGCCGGCTCCACTTCATCGGACTGGGGTTCGAGGGTTTGGATCCCGGGTGCGGATATACGCACCGCTCATCAAGCTACGCTGTGGTGGTGTCCCAGCTAAAGTAGAGGAGGATGGGCACAGATGTTAGCCCAGGGCCAGTCTGTCTCAGCAAAAAAAAAAAAAAAAAAAAAAAAAAAACAACCTGTTAAAACTAATTGAGTCTCTAGATTCTTTTGCTGTTCAGGAATTTTCATATATCAAATACTGCTTGAAAGCCATGGGCCTAATTTGGAGCTTGAAAACAAATTTAAGGTTTTTATTTAATAATGTAATTGGTTTTGGAGTTTGTCTTGTATCTGTGACATTCCTGTTAATGGTTATCTTGAGTGTTCATTTATTTTGACTGATTAATTTGACTTTTCATTTACTGCTAATTGATATGTAATGGAATGTTTGAAGGCATTTTCAATTTCAGATTCCTTAACCGGTATTGTTTGCCAGATTGGCACAAGCTGCCCCTCTGGAGGCAAGGAGGCTGGCCTTTTGTACCCTGTGCCAGTCAGTTATTGGTTATAGGGTGCCCCCCACCCCCCGATGTTACCTCACTTCCTGGGCGAGGTGGCTCCCTTGAGCGGAGGGCAGTTCTCTGGAGGAGGGGCTGCTGTGAGCCTCAGCAACCACTGGGGGCGCAGCGCCCAGGTGAGGCCCCGGGGCCCAGAGCGTGCACCTTGGGCTTGCTGCTGACCTGACGGCTCTAATTCTCAGTCTCCCTTTCAGTAAAATGGAAGTGAGAACAACACATCTTGTAAGGATTGTTTTACGAGCTAAAAGATGTCATTTATATCAAGGGCCTACCGCATCAGCAGGCACATAGAAGTACTTCCTAAATGTTAGTTTCTATATCTGTTTGCTAAAATGATAAGAAAAAGAAATATCTTTTACTTTATCATGAACACATAGTCTGCCACTGCCTTAAACGTCTTTTGTATTTTTCCAGGTGAATGAAACCCAGTTTTGTGTTGATATTCCTGCTGTGAGAAACTTCAAAGTTTCAAATACACAAGATGCTGTAGTGTCCATAGTGGATTACTATGAACCAAGTAAGTGTGTTTTGGAGTTCCTGATACTTTAGGAGTTAAGCATTCATTCGCTGATTCAAAGTGGCCAGCTATTGGATTGGTGTCTTGGGGGTGGGTGTTGTGGGGGGAGTGTAGGAAGTGGGGGAGCAGATGAGCTTCCCATTTAGATGAAGACAATTGATAATTTACAAAGGTCACATGATACATTTAGCACATGCTATTAAAAAGTAATGTTTTTGCTCATAATATTTTTGGTTTTTAAGTCACAATTACAAAATTCGCAAAGAAAAATTTACAAAGAGAGGCCAGTTATGTTCAATTTCAAGGTTTTGCTTCTGTTGGAAGTACCCATTCCTTCTGGTTCCTCTTTGAGATGGGAGTTCTTCAGGAGACGACATGAACAGTGTCCGCAGTGGAAAAGCCTCAGCTGGCTGTAGCTGTTTCTTCGTTGAGGGAGTGTATTGTTTTGCTAAAATTTATGCATTATAACAGACTTTTTTTAGCATATCAAAAAAATATAGTCTGTTTGGAAAATAACTTGAGCTTCTTTGATTTTACTGGTAACCTCTTACTTTATAAAATGTTAGAAATTTAGGATATGGGAGTAGAGATCTGGTTTGGAGATCGCCTAAGCTAATTAGGACGAATCGACATTCAGTCACAGAGTGACTTTTTGTGGGTGTGCAATCTCCAGGCTAACGCTTCTACTTGTAGTAAGACTTATTCTGGGAGTGGCCTGGTGGCGTAGTGGTTTTATTACAAGTAGAAATGTTCACAGGCTCTGCTTCGGTGGCCTAGGGTTTGCAGGCTCAGATCTCAGTGTGGACCTACACACCGCTCATCAAGCCATGCTATGGCGGCATCCCACATACAAAATAGAGGAAGATTGGTACGGATGTTAGCTCAGGGCCAATCTTCCTCACCAAAAAAGAAGCAAACAAACAAACAAAAACCCCACTTATTCTGAATAAGCACTCCTGGTGGCTCAGAATTGTCAGAATGCATGAGAATTGTGAACCCTGCTATGTGTTAGGCAGCTGTAGATAATTACACTTTAAAATAAAATGAACTTGTTCACGTTGTTGGTAGTGTTTGATAGAGTATTCATTTAAGACTGAGGCGTGCTGCCACTTACTCTCTCTCTCCTTGTAAGTCCACAAGCCAGTTCCTCTCCTCTTTTGCCTCCTGTTGGAGTTGAGGGAGAGCGTTCCTCCAACTTCTTGTGGGGCATTTTGGAGACTGATGCACCACTTTTTTTCTGGTAGAAGGATGGGATACACTGTGGAGACTCAATGATAGTACCTAGTTACCCAACTTTGTGATTTAACCTAGTTGAAAAATTCTCAAAGTGATATTTCTTAGGTGTATGGAGAATATTTTATACATTTAAGAAGCAAAAAAGATTGTCTATGTAATTTTTTTGTGGCAAACAACTTTATGAGGAGGACATTTTAAAATGAAAACATGGGAAAGATCAGAATAATAAAAACCTAGCAACCCATTTTGGAAAATCCTAAGGTTACAAAATATGTTTATAATATTAAAAAATTGATGAAAAATCATGAAGAAATTTGAAAATAGAATGTTTTTAAAAATTAAAATCATTTATGTTTTATAGTAAGCTTACTGTAGTGTTATAGGTGCTTTCTATAGTTTTCTGTGTTAGCTTATACTGTGAAATTTACCCAACTTAAATAGTTTTTGAGACTGTGTGCTCAACATTTTAAAACATTGAAACAAGGCATTGCATAGGCCAAGTTCTCTTTGTATGTTCGTATTTTTAAATAAAGTCCATGGTAATATTTTTCTCGGAAGTTCTGATGATTAGCACTTGATTTGAAGGCGTAGGAGGTGTCCCCCTGCAGTGAGCTCTCTTGGGAGGTGAAGCAGGCCTGCGTTGGAAGGCCTTCCTGCTCCTGGCAGCCAGTCTTTTTGTGCTGCGATGGTGGCCGCAGCTGCAGCCTGTTTTCCCTCGTGAGGCTGGCTGACTGCTGGTGGTGGAGAGACTGAACTGGAAGCATTGTTTCTTTCGTGGATTTGGTTAGCAGCTTGGGCCCCTCTTGAGCATTTCAGTTATTTCTTGTAAAGAAAAATAAAATTATGTGAAGAGTGGAAAACTGAGAAAAGTGTATTGAAATGCTCTTAAGTTTTGGCAAAGTAAGTGTTTCTAAACAAGGGAGCTGTGTAAGCTGATGTTTGCCTCTCTGCACAGGGAGACAAGCAGTGAGAAGCTACAACTCTGCAGTGAAGCTGTCCTCCTGTGACCTCTGTGGAGATGGCCCCGGCTGCCCTCCTTGTGAGAAGGGGGCTGCAGCCTTCTCTCCTCACTCGTCAGTCATTCTCGTCTTCTGTTGCACGCTTCTCTTCTCTTTGCAGTGTTGGCTGTGATTTATTTTTCAAGGACTCCATATAATACTTACATTTCCAGAAGTTGCATGTGATTGTCTTGTTTCGTAATCAAATATTGCCTCTATTGTGAAATACAGTGTTTTTCTTTTTCTGGGCTGGGATGCTGTACAGCAGTCTGAGATGTGTGGCTGCACAGGGGTCTTCCCCTCACTGCTGTGTGGAACCAAAGCCAGAATTATTGCAGTTGTATGTCCTGATTTCCTCCTCTTAAAATCTTGTGGGATCTTTTTTGGAGGTGTTATTTTCTCCAGAATAAATGCATTATTTTAGATTAGTTATTCTGTTCATTTTCTAGAAGAACTGAGCTTAGGTTCTTAAGCATTGTTATACACCAGTGCTTGCTTTAGCAGTAAAGACAGATTTCTGGGAACTGGGAGAAAACAACCAGAAGGAGGAGCTTATTCTGTCTCCCTCCCACATCCACCCTGCCCTGCTCTCCACCCCACCCCACCCCACCCCCAGTGGGCTCAGTATATCTTTCTTAATTGGATTTTACTTCTTTCCTTTTAGAATGGAGGTGTTGAGGTTATCCTTTTTAAGGAAATGGTGTTTGCCCACCCCAAATGTAGTCTCATATCCCAACCGTTGCCCTTCCTCTGCCTCTCTTCTGGAGAGAAGGCGGAGAGTGGACCGTGCCTCCCGTGCTCTGCACTCTGTTTAGGTGGAGGGTGCAGAAACCTGCCCATAGGCGGGGGGGCGCGGCTCTCCCTCTGGTGTCCTCAGCCCGCGTGGCTCCGTGTCGGGGCTGAGTCAGGGAGCGCTGCCACACGTGCCTTGTGTGCCTAGACTAGAAGAGCCTAGACCAGGAGACATGGGCTTTGTTAGTAATGGGGGCGATAAGCCGGGGGTACAAGAAGTTCCAGTGTAAGACACGGCAGACTGACCTCCCTGTGGTCTGGGAAGGAGGCTGGGGTTTGTCGGGACCAGGGAGTCTTGATGTGACCTTGACCTGAGTGTCGTAGCTGGTGGCCGGGGTCCTGTAGAGGCTCTTCTAGGCTCGGCTGTCTGGGGACATCTAATGCGTGCTGTGAACCTGTGAGAAGATTTCTGAGTTGGAAGCACCTGGATCAGTGGTTCCCCTATATTCTGAAGGACAGGATTCATTTATCTGGGTGAAAGTTAAAAAAAAAAATTCCTTTCCTCTGCCCCCTCGTTTTCCTCCTTTCCCTCTTCCTTCTTGCTCTCCTTCCCTTCTTCCTTTCTTCTTTCCCTTCTAAATATATTGAAATATTTTAGATATATCCAAAATTAACTAAAGCTCTTTTACTAAATCTGGGAAGTGTTTTAATTTTACTCCTTAACGGCGTTTCTCTCAAGTGGATGTGGGGAAGATGATTGCCATGGGCCCCACAGAGTCTGTGTCACACTATTTTCAACTGATCAAAAAGCAATCCATCAAAAATAAAGTCTGCAAATATATCTTTTAGAGTTAATTTAAAGAAATTTTTTTATTTTGCTGAATTTTAAGAAATTATAGTGGAATGGATGTTCATGTATTGCTTATGGATATTTTGGATACCAAGGTAGGAATTACCAACTTTCAGTTCAAACTTTAAGTTTAAAACTCAAGACATATGTAGGAAATATATCCTCAGAGTGGTCTGTGGAGAGAGAGAAAATAAATGTCAAATAAATAAACTTTATTTACTTTCAAGTGAGGAAAAGTGTTTAGGTTTCTTACACCTTTGAAACACTCTGCTCTAAAAAAGGCCCTTGTGATGTTGGGGCTGCCTGGGTGGTGTTTTCGGCTTCATGCCCTGGGACTTCTTTAGAGATGAAAGTGTCTGTAATGAAGCTGGGGGAGGGTGTGATACCCCTCCCCTGCCCTGCCCTGGGAACTGTATACCAACCATCACTACCTTATATTCTCAGGAAATGATTTATACTGAACGTCTAGTGTAGTGTGTTAGGAAACACTAGAATGGAAAGGCCATTGGAAGACAGCTTGTATCTTTTTTATATCATATTTCTTCATATAAAAACTAGAACTCTAATACTTTTTTGTGAAGTACTTCAGATTTTCAGATTAAAAAGTCCTGTAGCTCATCTCGTGACACATGTCTTTGATAAATTTGTGAGAAGTGAGAGGAGGAGGAGGAGGAAGTAATGGTCAGTCAGCGCCGCCTCGGGTGCATGGGCTGCAGATGCCTCCTTCCTCCTTCCTTTCCTGAGAGAACTGGCTCTGCTGCCCAGGGACTTTGAATTAAAAGTGGTGAAAAAGCCACAGGCATAGGGAGGAAAGGAGGACGTGTAGTAGCAGTAATTAATAGTATAGACTGTTTGCTTTTCTTCAGATGCTGTGAATAATAATGTTAAAAAACTCATTTTACTTTGTTTGCTTATGCTGAAACTCTTCTGTTTAGAATGATATCAGTTTCCTTGACTGGTATGAACTAATTTAAAATCCCCCTTTCTCCTACTGACGGGACCTGATCGAGACAGCAGCCTTTGTACTTCAGTGCTGGCTGCTTCCAGAGACTGGAGGCTGGAAGTAATGAGTAGCCAGACAATTCAAGGAAAGAACAATGCTTTTACATTTGCTTTCCCGATCTTACTACCTTCAGTTATAATTCTAAAAAAGATGTGAAAGTAACCACCAGTCAGTTCTCTGTATCTGTGAGTTCGGTTAAAATATGCCCAGTCAATGAAATGCTTCCTTTTATTGTATTGTTCTGTTATACTTCATGTTTTTCAAAATATTGTAACAATGGTGTCTTTGGTTTAGTATTTTGGTTGTATTATAATCCGAGGAGCATTGTGCTAATATGAAATCCAGATATACATCTATTACCTAACTGTTTATCACTTATATATGCAATACCATATCATACACCTGGAAATTTGCAGAATTGTAGATAGCATAATTCTCCATGCTCCCATTCTTTTGACCTTGGGTATAGTTATTTTTTTTAAAAGTTACATTTAGGAGAGAGGTCAAGATGGCAGCGTGAGCAGCCTCTGAACTCACCTCCTCCCGTGGACACAGCCAATTTACAAATACTC